AAGATGGCAATCAAAGTGCTGCCAACACTCATGGACTAGACTCACACATGATCCATTACGAATGAAGTTGAAGACACCACTGCAGCTGTACTTATTGTTGATTAATATGGTGGTAACACCATATTTTACCACCATATTAATCAACCATAAGTACAGCTGCAGTGGTGTCTTCAACTTCATTCTCCCGAGTCAAGCTCCGTATGAAGACATCCAAGAAGAAGATTGCCTGATGAGTCCAGCTGGGATGAAACGTACGTCACAATGGAGCTATGCCGTTGCTGTGTCATATTCTATGTGCCATGCGCTACCTGATGTAGCAGCCTGCTATGTCGGATACCGCCAACCATGCATCGACTAGGCGCCAGGCGCGAACTGATGGTGGTGGTAAGAAGGAGAGCTCTGTGCCAGAACTTTGCAGCCTGGAGAGCATGTGTGGACAGGCGTGTATTTACCGCCATATTGCCAGGTGTGTCTTTACCACCATATTAATCAACCATGATCCATTACAGCGAGAATTTTTGGCTGTCTCGCCTGGCTCACTCAGCATAGGCTGGAGCTGGATATTTACTCTCTGATGCTCTGAGGTCCCTATGGTAGCACTTTGTCCTTTCCGAGTTTTCGTTCTCAAACTTGTTGAATGTTCCCTTTGTCAGCAACCTTTTGCGATTAATTTCCTTTGTATTGTTTTCAGAACACTGGAGAGTAATTCTCAGTCAGTTCGAGAGCAATGCATGGCTCAGCAAGGTCAAGTGTCGCAGCTGACTGCTGAAGCTGTCAACCTCCAGAATGTGAGTAAGATCTAGGCTGCCAAACCTGTCCATGGGCCCCATTCTGACCCACCTGTTGCTGTTGAATAATCTGCAGTCATCCTTAGTCAAAGTAGGCTGTTAGGGAGAGGAGGTTGATGTAGGAATTTAACTTGTGACATTTCTTCATTGTAATACGTTCTGTTGAGGCTTGAATACCTCCTATATGTTATGTGTGGATATGCCTGAAGACTACAAGACCGCTAACGTATCTTCTCGTTTACCTATGAATTTTGGAGAATCGTTAAGTTTGCTACACGTTAGCATGACTTGTGTTATGAATTTTGGACAATCGTTAAGTTTGCTACTCCGTAGCATGACATGTCTTATTATATGACTGTAGTGAACAGTCTGTAAATTGGCGGTCAACGCACATCAAACAATAGAGGTTTTGCATGGGTACAGAAAGTGAGTACTGGTGAACAGGTGGCTGCACATAGATCATAGACACCGCAGAAAACGGTACTACAGTCAACTTCGCTTATCACGACACTCGGCGGGGCATCAAAAAAGTGTCCTTATTCGCGAAGTGTCGTTATACCTGAAGTCTCATTATGTGTATTACAGTTGGATGGGACTTTGCTCTGGGCATGGAAATTCTGTCGTTATTCGCGAATTGTCGTTATATCCGCAGTTGTTATTAGCGAAGTTGACTGTATGTATTATGTGGTGAACAGGTGACAAAAACGCTTTGGAGTACCATGAAAAAGCTCTATATTATATACATGTACTGCTAGATTGCACCTGTTGACATATTGATGCCAACGAGTACGTGTTTGTTAGTGTTAACCATGCTCGAAGCGTAACACCTGCAGCCATCCCTTCAGAAGGTAGGGATGTATTGTTGTCTGTGCTGTTGTTGCAGGAGTTGCAAATGCTACGAGCAGAGCACTCTGCCATGCGTCTGGACCTCATGAACAGCGTGCCATTGGTTGACAAGGGCCGTCAGCTTCAACAGCAGGTATGGTGACTGACAGATACTGACATTGCTAAACAAAGCAGTTTTTGACTTTTTGTTTGTGCCGGTTGCTCTGCCCATTCATCCTGTGTCTGTTCTGTGTTCCTAGTCCTCTATCTCTACATGCATCTGCTTGCTCACTCGGGCTATGGCTATCTCTTTCTACGTGTATGTATCTACCTGTTTCAAGATAGCTCTCTTTCTCTCTCTCTCTCTCTCTCTCTCTCTCTCTCTCTCTCTTTCTCTGCTTGGCAGGTGAATGAGCTACGGCGAGAGCTAATCCATGTTACGATGAGAGCCCAGTCGCTGCAGGACCAGCAGTTTAACACCTACAACAAAGACATTCACATGGCAAGGCTGCAACAACAGCTGGACTTGGTCACTGGAGAGTTCAATGGTTAGTTCCCCCATTAGGTAGCACAGGTTTAGGGGTAAGTCCCAGCAGCTAGCACAGGTTTAGGGGTAAGTCCCGGCAGCTAGCACAGGTTTAGGGGTAAGTCCCGGCAGCTAGCACAGGTTTAGGGGTAAGTCCCGGCAGCTAGCACAGGTTTAGGGGTATTAAGGTCCCGGCAGCTAGCACAGGTTTAGGGGTAAGTCCCGGCAGCTAGCACAGGTTTAGGGGTAAGTCCCGGCAGCTAGCACAGGTTTAGGGGTAAGTCCCGGCAGCTAGCACAGGTTTAGGGGTAAGTCCCGGCAGCTAGCACAGGTTTAGGGGTAAGTCCCGGCAGCTAGCACAGGTTTAATGACTGTAACTGCGGGGTCGTGTGAGAACCGAGGTATGGGTGCACTAGTATCGCTCCATTCTGTTGAGGGTGGATTGGTTAACGGATTGTCATAGCCACCGGTTTAAAGTGGCTGACATGCTGTGGTTGCTCAGTGCACAGAAAGTGTATTATATCACAGTCTGAGCCATTCCGTAAATGATCTCTGCTGCTTCACACTACTGTCTTGAAATCGTCCTCTCCGTGGTGGTAGTGGACCTGATTCACCTTCGGTCTGCATGTTCTCAAGACCATGCATGTATTTACCGCCATATTGCCAGGTGTGTCTTTACCACCATATTAATCAACCATGATCCATTACTTGAAATTGTCCTCTCCGTGGTGGTAGTGGACCTGATTCACCTTCGGTCTGCATGTTCTCAAGACCATGCATAATTTCTATGTGTGTTCGCATGAATGCATGTATGTGTACGTGCGTGTGTACATGCGCATGGGCGTGTTTCCTTGTGTAGCTTCTAAGGAGGGAAGCCTGTGGCTGACCAATCAACGCGATGCATTTCACCGAAAGATAGCTGACATGGAGAAGGAGCTTGCGCAGAAGGTGAGAGTTTTTTGGAATTTTCCAGAAGCTTTTCGACCAGTTCTCATCGGAGGACATGTGGGAATGAAGCTAGCAGTCCAATTCACACGGCATAGGAGAGTGCAGTGATGGTTTACTTCCAGCTCGATGTATCTTATACCTTTACCTGCACACACTCTCGTGAACACACCATACACTTGCACTCACATCGTCTTTCTTTTAAATTTCTTGCCTTCTCCTTCCTTCTCACTCTTGCTTCCTGACAGGATGTTGCTATTGACCAGATGAAGGCAACACTGCTGCGGCAACAACGGACCGCTGAGGGCAAGGAAAGAGTGAGTTTGGTCAAATCACTGTGCTAGCTATTGTGCACGCTGCTGCTGGCTTAGTACTGACACAGATGTACAGTGTTGCTTAGTGAAATACAATCGAGAGGAGTCAATGCCTCGCCGGGTGCTCTGCAGCCTCATACCTGTGAACATTGGGGTTTTGCACTGGTGCCGGGTGCAAACTTGACTCACACGATCGGATTTGTTGGGCAGCGCTGGACACGTGGATACTCACGAGTCGCAACTTCGACTTCGTATAAAGAAGTAAAGCGCAACTCCTTCGTAGCCTTCTCAGAGCAAATTACAGTGCATACACACACACACACACACACACCTCAGACCTCAGACATGCCCATCGCGGGAGCGATGATAGCGAACAGCTATGTTAGACATAGCAACTTGTGCCGGGATTACACCATTCAACAGCTTGCAAGGCTGATGAATTGACTGCCACTATTTTTAGCCTGGTATCCACCACACAGCTGTTTGAAGTGACTTTTTCTGGCCAGTGAATCCCTATTTTTCATTTTTCCATTTTTTCTTCTTCTTTTTCTTTTTCTACACACACACCACACCACATACTCCGGCATACACTGGCTGTTGGTAACCACCCAGGAGAATGAAAGAAAAGTCAGGAAGAGTCTGAGAAAGAGAAGAAAGACGTGTGTGACCATAATCGTCGGGAATCGAACCCGCAACCTATCGATTGGAAATCGCTGCACATACCACTGCACCATATGGGACACACACACACACACACACACACACACACACACACACACACACACACACACGTGTACACACAGAGAGCGGATTGCAAAAGCTTGTGCAGCCACGGACAGAGTGTGGGTGTGCGCTGTAAATTTGAATCCACTGCCTATTTCTGTGCAGATTGCTGAAGAAGCAATACAGTCGCTGACGAAAACCAACGAACGGCTTGACCAGCAAATCTACATTCTGGACGGTCGCCTTCGACTTCACCAGCGTCAGCTCATCACTGTGGATGTCTGCAAGACTGCGGACATGTCAGCGGCAATGGAGATGACAAGCGAGAGTGAGGACGCAGCCTGAGCACCACCGTTCTCAGTAAACCCGACGATGCACGCCGGCGGAGCGCTGAGAGCGGCCTAGGCAATGTTAGCAGAACTCCGTTACTTGGTACATACACCCTGTTTCCTCTAACCATGCCGTGTGCAGGTACACGGACGGTGACAAGCACTGTCAATCCAGCAATGTAGAGCAGTGTAGAACAATGTAGAGCAGTGTAGAGCAATGCAGGGTGCGGTATGTTCACTATGCTGCTGAAGGCTATTTTTTACGCTTTCATTCGCTGCACATTGCGCATAACTGCTTATATACCTTGCTGCGACAACACACGCGTGCATGCATAAACACACACACACACGCGCACGCACCCACACACGCAAGCTGTTCCTTATTTTTATCGATTTTTGAATTTTTTTAAAGAGACGTAGAAGATCTTTGCTGGTCATGGTAACTAGTGTGTGACACTGAATAGAAAGGGAGAAAAAGTTTTGAGCTTTACCAATTCTGTTTTAGGTGTGTGCGTAGGGGGGGGGGGGGGGGGGCGCTCGGACGTTTAGGGAGCAGCCCGCAAGTCATAAATCCTGGTATAGCGGATCTAACGATTCAAGGTATCAAAATAACTGCACTGGTCTAACTGGAAACATTCTCTTTCCGATCCTGGAACTAGATCGGGTCAAAACTAGGTCCAAATATTGGAGACTGGGAGACTTGATGTTAGTATAAATTAGAATAATAAAAAATAATTTTAATATCTCTTTTTCTTTTAGTGATTGGTGTAGCCCAGAGACCGTTTGGAGAGTGTTGTGAAGATGTATAGAATAGTATCTTTAAAAAAAGGAACTTTTTAATTCACTCCGGGGAAATCTTTATGTAATTGAAACTTGCTAGTGTATGTTTTAGTGCATGTTTATCAAGAGAGGATTTGCCCTGATTGTATAGCTACACACACACACACACACACACACACACACACACACACACACACACACACACACACACACACACACACACACACACACACACACACACACACTTGACAAAAATCACGAAAAGGCGTACAGGCCGCATTCGCTGAAAAAATAGCCTAGAAACGTTTCACCACCCTCCTGCTTCCTTTCCGGACAACGGACTCTCATCAGCCTTCATCAGTGTTCTAGAGAAGTGAAATGAAAAATGGAGCCAACACTCTACTCGATTCTATTGCATCAAATCTCCAGCCAATAGCTGCATTGGTCACTGATAAAATGCGTGGTGTGGGAACATGTTCACCTGTTCTTCTGGGCATGCAGTGTTGACTAACACTGTGTGTTTAGAGTTGCTCCAGCATAATCACAGCTGGATCAGGCTTTACAACCATCGACATCATCCACTTTGGCTGGTCCTGGTCAGGAGCTGGCAGGAGACGGAACTTTGCGAGAATCATACTCAACACGGTCTTCATCTCGTCCATGGCGAAGTGCTTGCCGATGCATGCGCGGGTACCGCAGCTGAACGGGATGAAGGCGTATGGGCTTTGCCGACCCTTGTTCGTCGAGAATCGGTCCGGGTTGAACTTGTGCGGATCAGTCCAGATCTCTTCGTTGTGATGAACACCGATGATGCTTAGTTGGAATGCAGTATCGGCAAAGAATGAGTTTCCGTCGACTGTGGTTTCTTTACCCAACACCCGAAGGACGAAAGGAACAATCGATGCAACACGAAGCGTCTCCTGTATCGTGTATGTCACATACTCCAGCTCAGCAAGGTGCTCATGGGCAAAGTTCTCCATACCACCGCACCTCTCCAGGACATCCTGCACCTCCCGCCGACACCGCTCCTGGACATCTTGGTGCTGGCTCAGGTAGCACACGATCCACTGGAAAGTGGAGGACGTTGTGTCATGGCCGGCGAAGAGAAAGGTCTCGACGTGCTCTCGGATGTCCGTGTCGGAGAGTCCGATGCCATCCTCGTCTCTCGCCGTCAGCATGATGTCGAGCATGTCCCGATGGCGATGACCGCCCTGGTCGTCATCTGCGGCATCGGTCTGCAGGAGAGCACGTCGCTCACGAATCAATTCCTCACTGAACGCATGCGTCTCTGAGAGGAGTTTTTGGAAACGTCTGCCGGTCGGCGAGTTGAGGAAAACGATGTCCGGGTAGAACCACGGCTGTCGGAAGCGGTTCATAATAATGTCCGTAATCTCTTGCAGTGCTGCACTGTAGCGAATTGTGGGCGAGTTCGGGTCACCGTCCGCTTGGCAGTTTGTCACTGCACCCATTGCACACTGTAGAATGATATCGAATGTCAACAGTTGGAAATGCCGCGACACGTCCAGCCTCCTCCCGACCTGCCCTTCCCACAACCCCAGCAAGGTACTCGCTGCATCCTTGAATGCGCCAACGTACTCCCGTCGCATATCAGGAGTGAAAACGCCGGACAACATTCGATGGTCACGCTCCCAGCGCTTTCCCTTACTGTAAATTAGATTGTTTCCCAGCCAAATTCGAATAAACCTGGCTATGAACTCACTCTTTCCGGGACTGGTCCGCATTACTTCACTGATCGTGTCCGGATGACTGAGGGCAACGAACATGTATGCCGGTCCCATTTGCTGCAAGAACATTCGAGGCAGTTTGCGAGAAAACTCAATGAAGGTTTCTCTGGATGAGGGCAGTTGGTCTTCGGCTAATGCATGTCCACGCAGCCAATGGGGCTTGCTCGGCATTCGCACGCGCTGCATCAAGTAGCGACGGTGCATCCACCATGTTGCGAGGACATGAAGTACCTTCGCGACCAGCAATGAGAAAACGGCAATGGCCACTATCCTCAGAATGGTCGTAAACAACATTTTGAACGAAGCGGTGCCCACGACAGGTCTGCTGCTCCAAGAACTAGATGATGGTAATCCTAGGACTAATAGGGTGGATGGTCGCAAGCTCTCAAAGACAACGAGACTCGAGAGATAAGCTAGAACTAAGTAGAACTACCACACCCCTGCAAGTATTCTGGATGTGATTCAACTGTCGCTATGTGCCTACTTGTAGTACAGATCTCTATCATGTCAGTCTGTCTACGTGTAGTCTCGATCTACCGCCCGTCAGTCCCACAGGACAGTCACGGAGTCATATCAGAGTCAGGGCAGCTATAACCTTACAAGAGCAAGGATGTCCAGCTTGAGAAGTAGGTTTTACATGATTATACAACAACATATTCCAAATCATGATAATTGTCCGGATTTGAGAAACTCGCGTTCCGAACTACATGTACATGACATGTTCTTAGGGACCATCGCAAAAGTTCGCAGAAGCCCCCGAAACGAAGACCGTTAGTTTCGGGCCTGACCCCCCCCCCCCCCCCCCCCCTCCCCCCTCAAACGAAACGACAGTCACAATATGGGCTTCACTATTTCACTTGGATGCTCACACATAATAATTATTATAATAAATAATACTACACAAGCATTGTTGTATCAGTGTGTAACAATGTACAGCACTTTATAAATGCAACGATGATATCACCTTGCAGTGGGTGATCTAAGAACGAGAACAGCTAGAGCTATGCAGTTGTATCCTTTGAGCATGCTAATCTATATTAATTATCAGCTCCTACATGTCGTCAATACTTTTTTGAATTGAAGCCCGGTTTGCGATTTTCGACACCGACTCCCTCCCCCCCCCCCCCCCCCCCAAACGTATTCTCTTCGTTTCAGGCCAGGGGCTTCTGCGAACTTAAAGGGGAAGTATACCCTAAAATCAAATTTTCACCAGTTGTAGTCTTCGGGGTGCTGAGTCGAATGGTCTTGATCCGAGGAAGCTGAGACGCTCCCTTCCTACTTGAATCCCAATCGAACTCGCGCACTTCCACCGAAACTGGGTGACTGCGCCCTACTAGATGAGGATTTGTATGCAAAATGTCACTAAAAGCGCCATTTCGTTCTTATAAAAGCACGGACGACCGCGATTGGCCCATATGTTGTAGTCTTTTGGACGCTGAGTCGACTGGTTTTGGTCCGAAAAGGCTGCGATGCAGCGTTCCTCCTTTATTCCCAATCGAACATGGTTGAACAAGCGGTCACGTGCTCCTGCGTACACCAGTCACCTGGTCACCGTGCCTGCAGGGTACAACTTACTAGCCTGTTTGACCTTTTTTGGGTGCACTCCTGTCACTCGAGTTGAACCTTGGTGTGAAAGTTGTCGCCTGCTGGCGCGGTGTCCAGGTGATTTGGGCACCCAGGACCACGTGACCGCTTGTTCAACCATGTTCGATTGGGAATAAAGGAGGAACGCTGCATCGCAGCCTTTTCGGACCAAAACCAGTCGACTCAGCGTCCAAAAGACTACAACATATGGGCCAATCGCGGTCATCCGTGCTTTTATAAGAACGAAATGGCGCTTTTAGTGACATTTTGCATACAAATCCCCATCTAGTAGGGCGCAGTCACCCAGTTTCGGTGGAAGTGCGCGAGTTCGATTGGGATTCAAGTAGGAAGGGAGCGTCGCAGCTTCCTCGGACCAAGACCATTCGACTCAGCACCCCGAAGACTACAACTGGTGAAAATTTGATTTTAGGGTATACTTCCCCTTTAAAAGTCTTTTGCGATGGCCCCCTAAGGAGTATTGGTGCTGCGACGTGTGGATTCTAGATCTACAGCAAGCTCCATCACGTCAGTCCATGTACTACTACTACAGTCATGAATAGTCCGTATGCGCCACTCTTCTGCCGTGGACGAAGCCGAAGCCAAGGAGCCGGAGTGTCAACACTCGACAACGCTCAACAACAGAGTCTGTGCAGTGAAACATTATGCCGCATCAGGACAGAGTTACTTCAGAAGCGCCGCACCCGTACTCTACGAACTATTAAAGGGAAACTGAACGCCAAAAATAAGTATGGCTTATCCGAAGGAGAATTGGGCACTGATTCCGATGAGCTATGTCTCGAGCCGATCAGAGAAGAGGAACCGTGTCAAATTTCATAAATAACACCTTCCATATTTGGAAATTGGGCTTGATGACGTGCGTACTGCTTAGCTGTCACCATGCTGTGCATGCTCAGCAGTGTAATTGAATGGAAGAAAACAATTACTTTGGTGTTTTGCAGCTCTGGTTCGTTCCCTGACGGTAACCAAATCTAGATGTAGGAATCTGTTGAGCAGGAGAGTGACACATGTCTTCCCGAGGGCTGTCCAGGCTGCAGTGGTGATGAAGAAGACACGATCATCACCCCGAGATCCATTGTAGCGAATTGGAAAACTCATGGTGAATTTGCTTCCACTCCAAGGCAATGTCGAGGTATGAAGGATGCTTGTACTGCCTTCCAAAGTGAAGAGGAGATGAACATGACTTTGCATAGCTGTTGTTCTATGCCAACTTACCTACTCTTGCTGGTACCGTAGTGGCATATTGCAAATTTCGTGGACGAACAACTCTAGTCACTATTGGCTAGTGAGCAACACTAACAGGTGAGAATTTTCAATTTGACAAACATTGTTTTTTGGTTTGAGAACTGACAGTGGCAGTCATTAGACTCAGTAGGTGTCTCTCTGCTGCTTCTTTCCCTTCGTCGGTAGGGTTGTGCTTGAAGTAAAAATAAATAGAAAATGTGGAACAAAAATCTGATCATGTAATTCGAATTTCAACTTCAAAGTATGTGTACATCAAATCACAAAAAAATTCAAGGTGGTGCTGTGCATTGAAAAAGACTGGGAGCTGGTAGCAATGGAAAGGGTAGAAACGAAACCAGTAATGTAGAGTATTCATAAGGTAGAGGGAGATGAAAACGGGAGAAGAGTAGTGAGCATTTCAGTTCGAAGTAGTGTCAATAGACAGCATCGTGTTGCATACGTTGTGAATATTGTGTGAATCTAATAATTGGCGGAGGGTGGTGATTAGGCAGAGTATTGTTACAATACAAGGTACTTTGTGAGCAGATAGCAATCAATATCACAGCATGGTTTAAACAGGAACTTGCTCATAAATGTCACGAAATTGATAATCCAAAATTGTAATATTATCCCCTCAGTAGTATTATGGTGTTCTCCTGTGTTTACATGCAGAGCCTTGACGTTGCTGGACGAGCGACAATATAAATTACATAAACATGTAGCTCATGATGTGGGATGACTGCCGTATCGCATTGCCAACGCAAACCCATCCTGTGTCAGTGCAGCCATCCAGCAACTCCCCGGACCAGATGCCGCTGCAGCTGAACACCATGCCGATGGAAAGCCAGGAGTTGATAGCGAAGCATTCTGGTCTGCACAGTACAAGGCAAAGAACAATTATGAAATTATAACGCATTGTAATCCTTCCCACACTTCTTTGTAAAAACAAACAAACAGTGCCATTATCACAACACTTGATCAAGCATCTTGATGGAGGTATTTTCCATTGTGCTGGCCCAGCATCTGCACCAGGAAGACCATGTACACTTACACGTATCTTGTGTGTGTGTGTTCGTGCGTGTGTGTTTGTGTATCCGTCTGTGCACACGTGCCTGTGGGGGGGGGGGTACACGCACATGTGTATCAGTGTCTGCTCCAGAGCCGGGTAATCGACCCGGTTGGGCGGCACTTGGACCCGGTTGAAAATATAGTACCGGGCCATCTGTGACCCAATTGCTACACTACACGTTCGAACTTTGAAAGGACTGACTACATGGCTTGTATGTGTGACAGATCATGCAGAGGCGCTCGTCGAATACATGTGTACCCGGCTGCGACCCGATTGAAAAGGTTGCGCCAGGTACACGTGTACCCGGCTGTACTACAATCCTAGAGCAGACACTGGTGTATGGGTAAGAGTGTGTGTGTGTGGGGGGGGGGGGGGGGGGGTACACGCACACGTGCATGGATGTGTGCGCTGTATGCGTGTGTCTGTGGGATGGGGTGGGGGTGCACGCACATGTGTACATGTGTGTGCGCAATACAGCATGTGTGTATGTGTTCATTGAACACTGGGTGTTCTCCTGATTCCATAAACTTTGTGATCATTGTGATTTCATGTGCTTTGAAATTGAAATTCGCAATACATGTACTGATGCTTGATTAGATTTATGTTCTATTTATTTTATTTTACTTCAAGCACTTGTACTATTCAAGCACAACCCTACCAATGAAGGGAAAGAAGCAGCAAAGACACCTACTGAGTCAAATGACTGCCACTGTCAGTTCTCAAACAAAAACAATGTTTGTCAAATTGAAAAATCTCACCTGTTAGTGTTGCTCACTAGCCACTAGTGACTAGAGTTGTTCGTCCACGAAATTTGCAATATGCCACTACGGTACCAGCAAGAGTAGGTAAGTTGGCGTAGAACAACAGCTATGCAAAGCCATGTTCATCTCCTCTTCACTTTGGAAGGCATTACAAGCACCCTTCATACCTCGACATTGCCTTGGAGTGGAAGCAAATTCACCATGAGTTTTCCAATTCGCTACAATGGATCTCGGGGTGATGATCGTGTCTTCTTCATCACCACTGCAGCCTGGACAGCCCTCGGGAAGACATGTGTCACTCTCCTGCTCAACAGATTCCTACATCTAGATTTGGTTACCGTCAGGGAACGAACCAGAGCTGCAAAACACCAAAGTAATTGTTTTCTTCCATTCAATTACACTGCTGAGCATGCACAGCATGGTGACAGCTAAGCAGTACGCACGTCATCAAGCCCAATTTCCAAATATGGAAGGTGTTATTTATGAAATTTGACACGGTTCCTCTTCTCTGATCGGCTCGAGACATAGCTCATCGGAATCAGTGCCCAATTCTCCTTCGGATAAGCCATACTTATTTTTGGCGTTCAGTTTCCCTTTAACTGTTACTTATTGTGACGGTTCAAGTCGGACTTTTCTTGTCGATACAGTAAGTATGGTAAAAGTGCAGCCTAACTAGTAACTACTGACGTCAGTCTGTAGAGTGTAGAGTAGTACTAGTAATCATGGTACATTCTGTAGACTAGTAGATCTACACGTAGTATTTGCGCAAGGAGGGGGCTAATCTTCTCGCAGAAAAGGGGGAAAAGGGGAGAAAAAGGGGGAAAAAGAGGGGGAAAAGAAGAGCGGGAAATTGAAAAAGAGGGGGTAAAGAATGGCGGGAAAAGGAAAAAGAGGGGGAAAAGGATGGCGGGAAGCATCCACCGTTTGAATGTGCATACATCTAAAGTGAGGCTATTTCCAGGCTGTGCACAAGCCGGTACACGTCCACCACGGCCTCTCGCAGCCTCCTCCTCTTCCTCCCCCCCCCCCCCCCATCACACACAATGTGCCGATTATCCTAATGTCAACTATCCAAATGATTAATTATCCAAAATAATTGCTTGAGGGGTAGAAGATGAGTTTCAAAGTTAGTGATTTTCGTCGCTCGGGGCACCATTGAAGCGATTCACAAGATGTATTAAAACAGGTTTGAGTCAAAATGTGTAATAATAGTGTCATTAATTTAGAGGAGCATGAGTGCACCTAGTTCCTGTTTCACTGCTGAAGAGAACGAAAATGATGAAAACATGCTGGAATATGCATGATTTAGATAGATGTGTGACTGCTCTTTTATCCGAACATTCTTCTCATCTGAACCCTCTGGAGACAGCCCGCGTCCCGAGGGGTGGGGATAATTGGCACTCTCCTGTACATCAAATTCTATTCTTAAATTATATACATATTGTAGAGCTCTTTCTGCTGCCGGGAATGAGAAAACACATCCCAGGTAAGGATACGCCCCTCAAGGAAACACAGCTGGTGGATTCCAACAGTCAGGGGCGTTGCACACGGTACGGTCACTACGGTATTGACCGTACCACTTTTTGCCCCAGATACCCGTGAGTCAACAAAATACACTGATCTGGGATCTAAAATTCAAAAAATTTCGGCTCAGCCACCACTCCCCCACGAGTCAATTGTACTTCAGATGGCTGACCGTACCACACTAAAATACCTTCCGACGCCCCTGACAGTAGTATGAAACACATACACAATCAATTAGAAATACTTTGGAGAATAAACCTTTGTTGGTGAAACAAAGTTGGGCGAGAGTATGATGTTCAAGTAAAACGATACTAAAGTGCCGTAACGTGAAGAAAGGAACGTAGTGCACAAGTTAATGAAGATAAATTCACATGCAGAACACAATATGCCCAGATGTGGAAATTTAAGTCAAGATTAGCAGAATATACACACATGCAAACACACACACACACAAGCGTGTGCACACAGACGCAAACACACACACACATATGCACACATATGCACACATATGCACACATATGCACACATACGCACGCGCACGCACACGCACGCACGCACGCACGCGCGCGCGCGCACGCACACACACACACACACACACACACACACACTGTTGGCTGCTATAATGCGATGGCAGCCTAGACAGAGGAAACAAAGTTTACACAAGCAAATTCCTATTCTTTTTCTTTCTTTGTCTTCTTCTTCTTCCTCATATTCAATTCAAGGCAGGCTCTTCTATTTTTTTTGCTTCGGCCAACCTCGTTTTGGGATCTGACCCAATTTATTGGGGCAGTACAGGTACCCTGAACCTGAGAGTGTCCTTCTGATGTCATCGCTCTCCTACATTTTCTGCACGTCTATATTATTCTTTCTACGAGGACAGCAGAAGGACAGAAACAAAGACATCCACACCATTTTTAAGACTGCATCTTCCAAAGAACACATCAAAAAGCAAATTCTACACGCCAAGCATCGGTTCACGCCGTAACAAATCTCCACGCCATGAAAAATTCGATCGAATGCCTGGTGGGAGATGCTTTTTAAAAGGCTTGCATACATTTTTCACAAAATACATTGTTGTGGCTGCCACCGGATTCGTACAAGAATATGTCAACTTCTAATCAAGGACTGTAATGAGTTCTGCCTTACGTATTAGAGGGGAAGTCTGCTGAATTTTTCAATTTCAGGACCCGTAGAGTTTGGGGCGCTGAGTCGAATGTTCTTTTCCGAGGAGGCTGCGGTCCATGGTTCGTCAGATACGCCCAATCGAAAATGAGCGAAAGCGAGCACGCAGTCTACCTGATCCAGGTGATAAGGTCACAGTGTGCAGCCAGGTAGCCACACCATCTATTTGTGTGCAAAATGGCCAATATTCGAAACGCGTTCGATTTGAGAACCATCTGTCGCAGCTTCTTCGGACCAAGAGCATTCGACTCACTGTTACAAGCCCTACGTACCCTGTGATTTTCAGCTCGGCAAAATTTGAGGATACCCCGTTTTTAGCCGTTTCCGAGTTGGACTTTTTACATCCGCTGGCTTCTGCGTGCATGCCATAGTCAACAAACATACGGAACACTACACTACAGTACTGCCGCGCACCGAAGAACGGGGTCAGGGTTCTAGCCTAGCCCGTTCTTATTTTGGCGAACACAGCAGTTTCGTTCATATTCGATGGTACAGTCTTACATGTACATTTAAGCAGAGTTATACGTCTGAGTGTACATCATATTCATATTGTACATTACGTTTCTACTTAGACCGTTCTTAAAAAATAGCGAAATCATAGCCTGGCCGTTCATCGGCGGTCCGTTCATCGGCGCCCGGCAGTACTGTAGTAGTAGTAGTACATGACTACACCCGCACTGCTGTGCTAGCGCTACGCGAGTCGTGTGGTAGATCTAAATGTACAAGAGACTAGTCAATACACGGACGTGTCATGTACTGCACCCGGTATGTAGTTAGAGAAGGTGTGCTCCTCCGGGCCGGTGATTGTGCTTTGAGAAAGAAATATTTTAGTTTTCCGCTTGGAATAGTCCAGCCTCATTTATGCTACAACGATGAGTCCACAACCGTGACAAGCGACAAAACCGCGAACAGCTCCCGGACCTAAAACGTTCAGATCCCGAAGTGTTGTGATCCTTGAATCGAAGAGTCGTGTCCGTGGTTCCAAGAACCTGCATTGTATATCCAATCGAGCAGCGTCCGAGCTATGTTTGCACCAAAAATCGTGAAATTTTCCACTGTATCATGGAAATGCCACACCCTACAGTCCCGCTGTTACCATATTTTACCGGTATAAGTCGACTTATTGAATTGAATTCAGTGCAAACAGGAATTTCGGATAATTGACCGTTTGGACAGTTGACATTCGGATAATCGGCATTCTACTGTAATCCTAGTGCATGCAATGAAACATACTTGACTGTTGGGAGTCTTGCTGCGTCAGTGCAAATTGGCAGTTAATGCTAGAAGCTGCAGTGAACAACATCGCAAATAGAAAATAAAGAAAAACAAATACAACTGAACTTTGATACTGGAAATTACAGATCTGCTGCCCGCATCCACATGTCCATATTCTACATGTGCGATTGATCCTGCAAGATCTTCACTGCCCGTCTAATTGAGGATGGCACCCCAAATAGAGCGGACCGCTTCTAAACCAATCAAAGACCCAGGTTGTTATACTCCAGCAACCGGGCAAAGACCTGTCACCCACCCATGACCCATCAGCCCATCTCCTTATGCTCACATTTTGGTGTAGTAGTTGAGCACCTGTCCTTCCTTCATCAAGTGGATATCCTAAGCATGTGACTTACCGCTGGTATATCTCTGCACATCCATCTTGACTGGTTGTCAAGTCCCTTTCCGGAGAGGTAGAGTGGATGGTAGGGTCAGTGCAGTCCTGGCCACGCCATGAGAAAGAAGACATTTTCCCATCAGGAGAAGGCCAACATCCTCCCTCTGGGTAGTGCCTTGATACCTGCAGTGCAGTGCAGTAACATTAAACTGCAATTGAAACTGTCTCCATGCCATTGTTAAGCCCAGTTCACACACATTCGACGGGGCGCAACGGGACGCGACATAAGGATCGACGGGAAACGCCGGGACGGTCACCCCGTCACGGACTGTGCCTTATGACTCGCACCATTCGCTGTTGAACATCGCAAAGACTGGAGCATGTCGTGTCGTACGAATTGTACAAGATTTTACAGCTCACCCCAGCCGTCACAGGCCCTTACGTCCCGTACCGTCAGCGTTGCGTCGAAAGAGAACTAGGCTTTAGAAAGATTACGTGTTGGTATGTGCTCCTAATTACACACAAATATACAAAAGGTATATAAAGAGAAAGCATGATCCACCCCATCATTGACACCAACAGCCCGGCACAAGAGCAGCAGCACCTGCATTCTATTAACCCAAAGTTCATCTGCGAATATACTCACAGAGTCGTCTCCTTTACTGTGCCCGACCTTGGAAGAAAACAACACAGCAACGTAGTGTTGGTTTCGGTGAGGGCTTCTACGTTCACATGAACACACAGAAAAGTACAATATATTTCCAAACAGACGCCAACTAGTATAACCAAACAGCAACGACAACACCACAAAGACCTAACAGTCTCTTGAGCACAAAGTGTCTGGGATAAAAAAAAGAGCAGAAGTTCACCATCGACACTGGTATTATAAAACTTTCTACAACTGCTGCAGAGGCAGCAGCAGGGTTCTAGTGCCCGGACCCAAAGCTCATCTGAGAATTTTCGCCATTGATACAAAGCAACGACCATGGTAGCAGCAGAGAGTAACAGCAGCAGCCGTTTGAGCAGCAGTATCAGCAGTCTCCAGCTTCAAGGGATTGACCTAGCAAATTTTACAGTAACATGAAAAGTGCAACTGCACTCTTTCCGGCACCAAATATGCCATGCTGTCCCCCGCTGCAAAATAGAGGACAACTCTCAACTGTCGCCAACACCTTGGCCAAGAGGGAGTCTTTCCTTCGACATTCGCCCCGGCCAAAGAAGGTCAAAACCCAAGTGGTGTAATAATGTATCTGCTTCTCCTATCGAGACACTGGCAAGGCTTGTATAGGCACGATAAATTGATAATACTGTATGCATATAACAAAGGCAAACGCACAAACTCACGTCCATGCACATGTGCACGGACGGTGTCGTTGGCGTACACACACACACACACACACACGCGCGCCCACGCCCACGCATGCACAGGACAAAGGCATGTGCAAAGGAGCATGCTCATAAAAGCACAGGACAGGCACACGACTGATCTACGGATGTATCACGACATTGAAGGGACGGAGCTTGCAGCAAGCCTTCACGCTCTGGAGATTCCTGAAATACATAAATACATGTCAGCAGTAAATAGTTGCAGCATAAACATTTCCACGGGGACTGTGCAGCTTCACTAACCTTAACTTCAGTCTCCCCAGAATGCAGCAATCAGACAACGGCTACGAAGAGGTGCAGGAAATTTGAACAACTGTTTCAAAAGCAGTCCTCCAAGCCTTCTGCACCAACAGGTGATTCAGTTCGTGCTCTTATACCATCCTGGCAGGTAGAGACATTTTCTAATAACACGAAGAGCACAATCATCAAGGTGGGCAAATCCTCAAGAGAGAGTGCACCCTAACTTACACTACAAATCATTTACTGGACACTACTGGACAGAGCGTCCAGTCCATTCAGTCCAGGGGAGAAGAGGCAAAGGCATAGGGCTCCTGAGAAGATGAAAGGGCAACACATTATCATTACTACATTAATTTTATTATTGGGGGCAGACGTCTTCTCTGTAAAATATGAGGACGAAAGGCACATCAGTACTCACATCCCTGCTCATATCACTGCTCATCCCTGTCCTCTACGAGGGCAATGCATTTAGGGCTGAAACAAGTATACAGATAACTCGCAAACCGATCGTTTTAAGAGCGCAATCGATAATCGTTAGGGTTCAAAGCGAATGCAAACGATTTTTTATGCATGCATACCAGTGGCAGTATTCTAGCCCTTGCACTCCATCCAATTGTGGATACGAGTGCAATCGTGTACTTTCAAGCGCAGTAATATTGATGCGTGGCTATGAAAGAGATCGGGAGTCAAGACGGTATCTTTTCGATTGATTCGTTGCGGAAGTTGGTGATAAGAGCTTCAAGCCAAAGGGTGACGACAAGCCTGATTCTTCGTTCTAGAAACAACAACATGAACTCCTCTAGTTCATATTGATAAAGCCTAGTTCAAATTCGACGGGACGCGGCGTAAGGATCGATGGGAAGCGACAGGACGGTCTGACGGCGTCCAATGTGAACACCAGGAACGGGAACGCAACCATACTACCGTACGGATCGGGAAGCGACGGGAAGTGTTGGATCAGTTCAACTTTTCATACCGTAGACGGGCATAGACGGAGACGCAAGCGTACAAAACGGCTGCATTTTGAGTGAGAACAGGAGGCGGCGTCGTGCGCCATCCACTCCCGATTCGTACTGGGAAATTTTTAGGATTTCGAACACTGCGCTTCCCATGATAACTCGCAGAATGGCTAACACGACTTGAGTTGAATTTTAGCAAGATAAGATCTCATGTCACTTATGGTATTTAGGGATAGTTTAGGAGAATGACAGATGAACTGTTTTATCATTTCCTAGGGCTACTATTCGAATGGCACAACTTTCAGGGCTACTTCTTTGTCTCCATGAAAAACTGGTATTGTGAATTTGATTTCGCTTCATTCAAGGAGAAATAATTGAAAAGAAGTCCCGAAAAACAAGAAATTAGGTCCGAAAGTCACCCCGTCACGGACTGTGCCTTATGACTCGCGCCGTTCGCTGGAGAACATCGCAACGACTGCAGCATGTCGTGTCGTACGAATCGTAAAAGATTTTACAGCTCACCCCAGCCGTCCCGACAGGCCCTTACGTCCTGTACCGTCAGTGTTACGTCGAATGTGAACTAGGCTTTAGACCAGTCAGATGTCTACAGGTGTCAACACAATTGCCTGAAATGTTTACAGAATACCAAACACTGAGCGGTAGCCTGGGTATATTTAGAGTGTTTGACTGGTGGCCACAGCTAATGTAGCAAAGGCATCATGGAATTTCTTCATAGTCTTGTGTTCGAGGTGCACGACTACAGCCGGAAAGAATCTATAATTATGAACCAACAATTATAATTGATCTCAATGTCTCAGTACTCATACTCCTTGTCAGTTTTGTGCTAGATTGTGCACGTCTGACTATTCGAAATCTGGTTTAGTTGGTGGACTCGATTGCATAACTTGTGCCCACATTTTTCTATGTTACAATGATATTCATCGCTAAAGAGATTGGTTGATCGCTTGGAGTTATTGAATGATCGTTTCAGCCCTAATTTATTTTCACCCTGGCCACAGCACTAGGCGAAATTCTCTGACACGGCCTTTACCTGCATCCACTGCTCTTTCGCATCACGACGAAGGACATGCAGGGGTTCTCTCTGAGCAGAGGAAAGTAGCCATCGCCACCACCACCATCACCATTCACCGACAATACTAGAGAGACTATTTTCCCCGTCGTGGGTACTTCCAATAAAGTAATTCCACTTACATAGGTACCGTCAGCGGCGCCACCATGTTCCCAACAGTGTATTCCTATCGTGGGTACTTCCACGGGCAATAAATTCGGCTCGTGCTGTCACGCGCAAGCCATCAAATTCCTATACCTCCCTTGCGCCAATTGCCTCTGCAAACAAAATTATTTCAATGATTGGATTAATTCAGTTCTTTTCGCTCGTGCACGTCACGCCGGGTGCACTGCGCGCGGCCCATCTCCGCCCGTACATTGTTCATCTTGTTTCATCTTGTTTCATTCGCGCCTATCTACGCCCGTACTTCGAGTTTCATTTGGTTTCATCTTGTTTCATCTTGTTTCATCTTTGTTTCATTTTGTTTCTTTTCGTTCATCTCGGCCCCATCTGCGCCGTACATTGGCGTTTCATCTCGTTTCATCTTGTTTCATCTCGTTTCATCTCGTTTCATCTTGTTTCATCTGTTTCATCTGGGGGAAGACGGGCCCCGTCAACTTCCACGGGGTCTTTGGCACGGGCCAGTAAACCAGAATCCGCTACCTCATGGGCACAGCCCGGCGTGGCGCGGCCCCCTGATTGCAAGACCGCTCGCTGGTAGCGGAGAAAATATCCTCCAGTTCAATGCCATGCTCGGCCGTAGCGACCCTTCGCGGCTGAGCCTCGCAGAACAATTCCAGCTGGCGTGCTCGTTCAGAACCAGACGAAAGGACGATGACTCGTTACTGAAAAGCTTAGAAAGTTCGTCCTTTGTCAGCAACGTCAAGTTGACAAAAATGTCTTTCAATGGGATTTTGGCATCGCTGGCAAGGCCACCGCTAATCTGAATACCAGCCTTCTCAACTGCCTTAGCCAGCAAATCACGGGCAGTTCGGACAGAAGCTGGCAACTTCTGCTCGCCGGACGCCATGGGTCACGGACAGGCTTGCGTCCAAGTTGCGAGGAGCACCAGGCAACAACGTCGTGCAAGGAGACGCTACAAGTATTTTTACTTTGCCTGCATGACAGATGATTGTACGAATCCTGGGTGGTCGGTGTTCGCGAGGAGGTGACGGTACGTGTTTTAGCTCAGAACTATCCTCGGACTTTGTAGATGTTGCGTTGTTTTTGATTGTACTACTGCTGCACCAGACTAAACATGTACATTATTCCCGTAGTGCTAGTGATGTCCATGGAGTCGTAATATTCCGACTCTCGGGTAGAGTCAGACAGTCAGTACTGACTGTCAGGGAGTTTTAGCAACTCGTGAATGACGAGCGCGCGCAAGTTATTATCCATTACTAATGGATATCGTTAGAGAGCTTTTAAAACATGCATGTTATTTCCCACGTGTGACGCCCAATTTCTCCTCAAATTTGGCGTAAAAGTCCAAAGTTGGACGTGAGCTGCAGGTCACTTGGGGGTTGTTTTTTGACACGCGAGTCAAATAACGCGATCTGAAACTAAATAATTATTTTGACATCACATCAGAAATACCGTGTATCTTAACCTGTCCAGTGTGCTTAGTGTTAGCAATGCGTTCACCTCTCATACAAGAAAGAACTGTGTATATGAATGGACATCACTAGTTTACAGTCGATATGCGCTAACACTTTACTTGAACAGTAACTGTGTGTGCTAAAAATGCATAGCAGCAGCAGGAGTTCTGATCTTGTAACAGAGCGTGTTGTACGAGCATAGAGGAAATGGAATTAGTCGTGGCTGAGCTTGTCCACCAGGGGTTTTCCCCATCCAGTGCATAAGAAAACAAGACTATTTCCTCCTCATTAATGATCTTCTCACTGTACGTCAGAAGATGGACACGAGCCTAGAAATCATCCACCAGCAAAAGAAAACGACAGTAAGGATTTCAACTTCAAGTTGGAGCTACTGTAGATCAACAAAATTTGGCCTGTGAGAAACTTTGGCCGATCTCCAAATGAAACTTTTGGCTGAGGGTTTTTCAAAAAAGAAATCGATCAGTAGTTTGTGCTCTCACATGCATCCATGCATCATTTGCCTCTATGACAAACTTTGTCCGGCGATTTACTTTGGCCTAGGCCTTGACGGATTATGCTAATATTTTCGTGAAATTATGCTTTTCGCATTGCTGAAAAAATTGCAGAATTATGCTATTTTTATGCTAAAAGTTAGCATATTATGCCGGCATTATGCTCACATATGCTGCTAATGATAATGGTTCTGTGCAAAATAACAGGGGATTTTTTTTGTAGAGGGCGTTGTACTGTAATAGCAAAAGTTCAACGGGTCAACGCACCGTCCGACCTAGCTACGACCATCACTGATTGTAGTGGACTGGACATGTTACCAAGGGAGTCGTAAACCCACAACTTCCTAGTGCATCTACTTGTACTTGTACTTGTAGAACATGTACAACTGTATGGAATTTGATGCGAACAGGCGGATTATTCCAATTTTATGCGATTCGTATGCATTTGCCTCGAATTATGCGATTATTCGATTTTGGTAGGAATTATGCGAAAAATTATGCTAGCATAATCCGTCAAGGCCTACTTTGGCCGGTTGGTACCCAGCGGCGAAAATCAGCGAAATTAAATCTCCAGCAAATTAATTAGTTGACTTACAGTACCCTCTTGTGAAATCAAACTTTTTTTTGAAGTAAAATCTTCGCACTGCGCTCTCCCTCGCTTATTGAAATAAAATCAAAAAGGGAAAGGAATTGTATGCCATAACGAATAACTGGTCTGATTCGTACAGAACGAGCTCGGATTGCGGTGCGAAACGAGACTCAAACCAGGCACCCAAGTTGACCACGGATCCGGACTCGTACTCGTTGACGAGTTGCTATAGCCAGGCCACCCGAGTTGATCACGGACTCGAGTACTCGTTGACGAGTTGCTATAGCCAGGCACTCGAGTTGACCACGGACTAGAGTACTCGTTTACGAGTTGCTATAGCCAGGCACTCGAGTTGATCACGGACTCGAGTACTCGTTTACGAGTTGCTATAGCCAGGCACTCGAGTTCATCACGGACTCGAGTACTCGTTTACGAGTTGCTATAGCCAGGCACTCGAGTTGACCACGGACTCGAGTACTCGTTTACGAGTTGCTACAACTCTCTACTGACTGTGTAGGTAGCAGGGAGTTGTACAGCTGTTCCCATGGTTACTGATCAGTACAGAAACAGTCTGTATTGACTGTGTATTGTGGAGTGATCATCAGCAGGGTACATGATGGGGGAGTGTGGTCACTTCTCTCAATGTGCTCATCACTCTTGGTCTGGCCTGGCATGCATCATGCAACAGTCATACAACAATCAGATACCATAAATAATTATTATGCATGTACAGATTTATATGTGATCTTCATCATCAGTTGGGGATACGTAGGCAAAGTCACAGGTCCTTACCACATGCCCTCTCCAGTCATCCTCATTCGCTCCAGCAGCAAAGTGACTCCAAGTTACAGTAGATAACATCTTATTTTCAGTGTAATTGAATTTCGGTAATTTCCCGTACAGAAAACCAGGCACCTAAATTTAGATTACACCTAAACATTCTCTAGAGTACACACTGTATGAGAAGGGTACACTGTCACCTAATTCTACATTACACCTGAAACCTGGCAGGTTGCTGACACCGAAATTGTTTTTTTTCATTTTTTAAACCAGCTCAAAGTGTTCAAGTGCACACACCTGTTACTATGAGAATCTCAGCCAGCCTTTTCACAAGTGCACGTATACATCTAGAATGTCAAAATTGATTGAAATCATTTTCTCAACGCATGACTGTACTGTTCAGCTTTCATATGTATCACACTACTTGTCTGCCGTGTGCTGGAAAAGGCACTCGGCCACAACTCGATTCACAGCTTGTCAAAGTCATGTTGCCATGGTGATATTGTTGCCATGCAGGTGTTTCCAACTGAAGTTGTTGTGTTGATACGTGACCATGACAACCACATGTACAAGACCTGGATTTTCTACTTCAGCAAGTTCTTCGCCTAGGTGAGGATTCTATTTTCTGTATCGATTTTGTGTGTGTGTGTGTGTGTGTGTGTGTGTGTGTGTGTGTGTGTGTGTGTGTGTGTGTGTGTGTGTGTGTGTGTGTGTGTCGCAATAAGACACTCCCTCTTCGAGCGCCCTGATGGACAGCACAAATGCGAGTGTGCCCCTTTGAGGATCACATAGCCGGACACGACAGTGGTACAAGGAAGGAAGGAAGGAAGGTGTGTGTGTGTGTGTGTGTGTGTGTGTGTGTGTGTGTGTGTGTGTGTGTGTGTGTGTGTGTGTGTGTGTGACGATTATGGTCACACACATCTTTCTTCTCTTTCTCAGACTCTTCCTGACTTTTCTTTCATTCTCCTGGGTGGTTACCAACAGCCAGTGCATGCCGGAGTATGTGGTGTGATGTGTGTGCGGAAAAAAATAATAATAAAAAGACCAAAAAGTAGGGATTCACTGGCCAGAAAAGCCACTTCATAGCTGTGTGGTGTAGACCAGGCTGAATAGTGGCGGTCAATTCTTCAGCCTTGCAAGCTGTTGAATGGTGCAATCCCAGCACAAGCTGCTATGGCTTCTGTTGTAGCATCGCTATCATCGCCTCCGGCGATGGGCGTCCAATGGTCCAATGGTGTGTGTGTGTGTGTGTGTGTGTGTGTGTGTGTGTGTGTGTGTGTGTAAGTGTGTGTGTGTGTGTAGCCGTGTGGTGTAGACCAGGCAAAAAAATGAGTCACGGTCAATTCGTCAGCCTTTCAAGCTGTTGAATGCTGTAATACCAGCACAAGTTGCTGTGTCTAGCATAACTTGTTCGCTATCATCGCTTCCGCGATGGGTATGAGTATGAGTGTGTTGGTGTGTGTGTGTGTATGCGCATGTATGTCAATGTGTATGCATGCACATGTGTGTGTGCATGTGCGTGTGTATGTGTGTGTGCATATCGATAGGTTGCGGGTTCGATTCCCGACGATTATGGTCACACACGTCTTTCTTCTCTTTCTCAGACTCTTCCTGACTTTTCTTTCATTCTCCTGGGTGGTTACCAACAGCCAGTGTATGCCGGAGTATGTGGTGTGGTGTGTGTGTGTAGAAAAAAAAATGGAAAAATGAAAAATAGGGATTCACTGGCCAGAAAAAGTCACTTCAAACAGCTGTGTGGTGGATACCAGGC